TCCTGGCTGAGCTCATTTAAACTCCCAATTTCTTTTTTATTTTCTTTCAAGCTCGCTTCCAGGTCTCTCCTAGCTACCTCAGCCGCAGTTTCTCTAGCAGACAAGTCATCTAATTTACCTAAAACTTCCCTAAGTCTGTCTTCACTTTGCTCATTTTTTACTCTCTTTTCTCTGATTATATCCAACAACTCAACTCGCTCCGCCTTATATCTTTCTAGCTTTCCCTGAAGCTTTTGAAACTTTGTCAGCTCGGACAAAGACAGTTCCAGCTGTTTAGCTAGATTTAAGGCGAAACTCGATAGGACCTGAACTGCGTTCACGGACCCTCCTGTGTTAAGCTGGTTCGCTACTTTAGCTACTAAATCTACTTGCAGCTTCTCAATATCATCAAAGTTCAAAGTTCAAAGTTTTCTATACCGCTCCAGTAACCAGGATTGTCGTCGCTAGAAATAGTACTTATAAGCGACTCCACTTCAGACATTTTAGCAGCCATTGTCATTACGTCAGAGAAACTTTAAGAGTATTACTTTTTTTCCTTTTACCAACATACAGTATGGAATTTAAACACCCGAGCAGATGGATTTCCAATCAGCACACGTTACACTAAACGTTAGAAAACAGGGGGATTTCTTTACGCAGTTATCAGCACACCCGGTATTCGCATATAGAAGCTGCGGTGGTGTGCTGAACTTGAACTCACAGCAATATCAGTTATTCTGTGCGATTGATTCTCATTACATTCTAAACTCGCCCACCCAGGGACGCCATTAAATGTAGTGGTTTGATGGGTTTACTGAGACAATTATTAATTGTAGCAGTAATCACGAGGTTGTTCGTTGGGGCTTTTAAAAAATCAATCGTCAGAACAACTAACAACGCACACACACGGGTTCAATACACGGGATACATTTATTAATATAACTGTGCACCAAACATATACTAGTCTGCCTGGATACGAGCGGCAGACCTTACTGTGAGGGTTATCAATATACAAGGTATATAATCTCGAAGAGATGCAAATACAAAGAGATAATCAACAGAGAATATATGTCAATATATATAGTTCGGTTACCAAATCGCTAATCAGTGTTATTACCCACTGTTGCTCTAAACTAGGAAGTAAATACATTACTCATGAATTAAATTGATAACAACTTGTGTTGAGGTACAATTGAATTCTCGAGACGCAATGTAGAACATGGGGTTTACTTATCCACTGTTTTTGGATTTGGAATTTCCCGGCACAAACACCAAACCAGCTGACAGGCTCTGTTGCAGCCTCTGTTCCAGTGGTTGTCCAATGGGCATTGTGTCGGCGTCCTCTGACTACCGGCCAACCAGTCGAGGTGCAGCTCGGAGTAGGATGGGAGGAGGAATCTAACTGCGGCGCGCAGGGCAGTCGTTGCTCCGAGGGGATCTACTAGCAGTCCGACTGGCTAGAAGAAAGTCTCTATGCACAGAGTGTGACCGCAAGTCCTCACAAGTCACTCTTTTGCCTGGGAAGAAGCTGGTTCGTTCCCGGTCCAGCGCTGCTTCTGAATAAGCTATTCAGGTTGTCGATGAGGGTCCAACTGTAGGCTGCCGTTGATCAAGCGGAGTTCCATTTTAAAAAACATAATCACGCTAACATATAATTTTGAAAAATAGAGAACAAGTTACTGAAAGGTATTTAGTTACAGAACTAGTATTTGGACATACCAATTATTCAATAATAATAATGCCATTTAATAAAAAAATCGATTAATTAAATAATTAAATAGGAAGTGATGTATTTTTCTTAAACATGGACCTCAACTCCACAGAATAATATATTATAACCACTACCATGAAATTGTATCACATGATTATTATGTGGAGGATATCTTAGCCTCTTCTTTTGCTTTGTACATTGAAATTAAAATGATAATGTGGTTTCTAGTCTTGTGTTTACACTATTGTTTGCATTATGCTAGAAAGGGGACTGTAGCCTCAAATATTTGTGAGCTGCTGCCTTGATATTTTCATTCCTTAATGTGTAAATGATGGGGTTGACCAACGGGGTGAGGAAATAATACACTGCACCAATGAAGATTCGTCCATCAGGAGGGATACTTTCTACTCTTAATCCAATATACACTACAGAAGCAGATACATAGTACAGAAAAACCACAGTCATGTGTGAAGAGCACATTGAAAAGGCCTTCTTACGACACTCCACAGTTTTCATCTTTATCACTGAACATACAATTTTGTAGTAGGACCAAAGAACAAACAGAACAGGAATGTAAAATAACATTGCAATGGATAAAGCAAAGTTCACTTGTGCTGTGACATCACCACAGGCTAATGACATTACAGTGGGGTAGTCACAGACAATGTGCAGGATAAGATTTGATCCACAGTACTGCAAAATGCTTGCCAGTACAACAGGTGTTAAAGGCGCAAGGAAGCCCAGAAGCCAGACTGAGGCTACCATTGTAACACAAACCTTACTGCTGATTAAGGTGTTGTAATGAAGAGGTTTCACAATAGCAACATAACGGTCAAAACCCATCACTGCAACAAGGAATACTTCAATACTATTAAATGAGATAAAAAAATACATTTGTGTAAAACAACCAGAGAAGGATATTGTCCTGTCATGACCCAAAAGAACTGCTAACAACTTGGGTATGACAGTGACAGTTATCAGTACATCTAAGACAGCCAAGTTCCAGAGGAGTAAGTACATGGGTGTGTGGAGCCGGTGATCTAGGGCAATTAATACCATGATGACCATATTAGCCAAAAATGTGGCCAGGAGGAGGATGAGGAAGAAGATGAAGAAAGCAAAACTGTGCTCCTGCAGACCTGGAAATCCCACAATGATGAACTCATAAAACAGGGTGACATTGGTTCCTTCCATTGTTCATAGTCTCAGTAGCTCGGACAGGAGCTGGATGCCAAAGAAAAAGTATACAACTAGTGGATTATTATAAGTTTAGATAATGAACCTTAAAAGAAATTTAAGGAAAACATTCTATATAAGTAATAAAAGAAATATTTCAGATTTGAATTTAATGCTTACTTAAAACAATATTTTATACTGTCCATGTTAAACTATGACTGTTATGTCCATAGATATCCAATAGTTCAAACATATTTTTTAAGTACTCATGCGAACTGCAGAAGTATTCCATCTAAACCTTTTGTGTAATGAGACTGATACTTGCACTGTATTTTTTGCATTGTGAGAATCAAAACTTAAAAGGAGTTACAGACTATCTTTCTTATGTACCTTTTTGCTTCTTTAGTTTTCAATTGGAAACATTCTCATTTGTTATATTTTAAACAATGTTGGACACTTATTCATGTGAGATACTGAGATAAGGCTTCATCGTTCTGCCTTCAGTAAGTATTCAATACATATTTACAAGGCCCAGGAAAAATGTTCGTCCCATTCCAACAAGTCCCAGTTTGAAGAAATACAAATTATGTATATCTGTACAGTGACAACTGTTGGGCATGCCATGAAGGTATCTTAAGAAATACACAAGTAAAGAAGGAGCGATACACAAAACAACAATTAGGTTAAAATACATCAGTGCAAGTACAGTGCAGGTGATAAATAAGGCACCACAACCAAACAGCAAAACAAAAGCCTAAACTATTTTTTTATCTCCAACATGAATTTCTTATTGAAGTCTTTAAATATCTTAGCTGATCAGGTAAACTGATTACCAGCCACCATACAATTAAAAAAAGAAATCTCTCACACCCCTAAAATCCTTCTAAACTGAACCTCTCAATTAATTTTCATGAGAGCAGCAACTCATTAACCCACAATAGAGGTTTCTGATCCTAATAGGCTTGTACACTCACAATACCCATTATTTTAAAGATAAACCAATTTTTTAATAAACTACTTGTGATTGCCCAAATTAAATAATTTTTAAGTAAAACAAATTAATTGGCAACAAAAAACAAAAATGTTGATTGCATAAGTATACACCCCCTTTTATATGGTAATTCCAAATTAGTTCAAGTGCACAACTGTACTGTTACACAATTGAGACAAATTGTTGAGTGGCCATAGTGGAATAATAGCAATTAACACAATTTCAGTATAAATTCACACTTGTCTACATAAGGTCCCTATATCAGGAAATATTTCAAATTTCAAAGTTAAAGACAAATTTATAAAACAAATTTAAAGTAACCAAATGACCCTTTGAGCAAAGTGAAGTAAATCATGAAATGAAGTGAGAGGTGTATTATACTATCCAGACTGTAGAACAGTTTGTCTCACAAACTGAGCATCCAGGGAGGAAAAGTCTGAGATCAGAGAAACTGTAAGAGTCTAATTCTGAGAACATCTGGCAACATATTTTGTAGTGCAACAAAATAAACCTAGGAGTTGTTGGTCTACACTCAAAAAGTTAAATCTGGTGCAAACTCAGCATAGCGCATCACTCAACACCATCCCTGTTGTGGTTGCAGCATTATGTTATGGGACTTATAGTTACTTAACACCAGGGACTAGGAAGCTTTTCAAAATTGAGGAGAAAAAGAATATATCACAGTAAAGGCAAATCTATAAGAAGAAAACTTACTTCACTCTGCAAAAGACAAAAACTGGGATGAATATCTTCACCTACCAGCAAAACAGTGACCCAAAGCACAATGCCCAAGCTATACTGGAGTGGCTTCACAGAAAAAATGTAATGTCATTGAGTGCCCCAGGCAAAATCCTGAACTGAATCTGATAAAAACTCTGTGGCAAGAGTTGAAGTTTGCTGTCCAACAATGATCACCCACCAACTTTATACAGCCACTATTTCAGTGTCTAAAGTTGGTGGAGAAATCCAAAAAGACTCACAGCAGTTATTGCTACCAAAGGTAATTTGATCAAGAATAGAGCAAAGGGGTAGTATATTCATGTTACCAATATGTTAGTTGGATTTGTCTTTATAGTTGTTGTTTTTTTTCTTAAATTTAAGTTCCATTCACCAATAAAGGTGTTCATAATGAGTTTTCAAACGTTCATTAAAATATTCACATTAAGAAAATGTATGTACATTAATTGTAATTAAATTAGCACATCATTGGAATAGAATGAATACTTTTAACAGGCCTAGAATATACGGAAAAAAACGCCTTGGATAACCTGATCCATTATACTTGAAATATGATCATGTTCATACTTACATGGTAAAGGCTTTCTGCTTCAGTTACATTTCCTATACTGGTTGATACCAACTTAATGATGTACCTATGGGGTAAGATGATAAGACATGTAGGTCAGTATTAACTATCACAAGTGTCTCTAATATAAAAGGCTTAATGAATTAAACAAAATCTCTGGTTTGTGTATTTTGTCTTCATTTTAAAAGACACAGAAGCATCAATTTGTAAGTGGTAAGTTGTAAGAACTTATTATTAGGCCCTGTGTATGTGTACTGAATTCCAACCCCTGGATGTCACTATGCAAACCAGAGATAGCACATTAGCAATTTATGAGTGCAGGTTTGGGTGGACTGTCCCCCCCCAGGCACCTATGATGTGCCAGTGGTCCACTTTCAGAGAAGAATTTACAGTCCCAAATAGGACTGTCCAAACACCAAACATTTTCTCTTCAACTCACACAAAATTTCACTTGTTATTTTCCTTTCAGGACACTTGGCACACTAAACACTGAACTGAAATCACTCTGGATCAATCTTTCTTCACTAAATGCAATTCATAACCAAATCATTGCAAGTTATTATCTCTAACTCTTCAATCTATTTTAGCACTGCCATCTGGATCCTGATGTGAAAGCACAAGAGTTGAATAAATCTAAATTCTCTACAGCTCATGATGCCACTAACTCACCCTCCCTGAACTGTAGAAGCTTACACACAATTTTTATTGGGAAAATAAATAACTGGTTTGTGTACACTGTCACACTTCAGATTAATTTGGTATTCAAAACATAATATCATCTTCAATTGCTAAAATTGTTAATTTTTTTCTTACATGCATTAAGAAAAACAGGTTAAGAAGTCAGAATTTGAAACTGAAAAGCTGCTAGTGAGGCATTATATAGGCGGTATATGTGTAGTTTCTTTTAGTTATTTTTTATAGTTGGTTTAGTCTTTTTTTTAAAGGATTCCATTTTACCAGGGAGATGTCAGATGTAAGCTACATTAAGAGACCAACCCCTTGTATATACAGGATTTCCAACACATTGGACTCATGTTGTTTCTGAAATGCACAGTAAGGTTATGAGTCAATTGGCATAATTCTGATATGCGTATTTATGCTTAAACACACTGAGAACATAAAAAACTGAAAGGTGCAATTATAAATGACATGCAGTTGAAATCCCTAGGGCTTTTTAGGAGAAGCAGAAAATAAGATACAGACCTCCAAAGCCTGGGACGTTTTTAGATGTATGTAATTATTATATTTTAATTAATGGTATTTTCATGCAAGTAAACATATAAAGTTTGAACAGAGCAGGTAAAAAACATTAGCACCAGGAAAACTTTACTTACTCTCATTAAAAACAATTAAAAACAACAGCAATATTTGAATAGTATACACGATAATTTCTCCAAGCATAAAATACTTAAGAAGATGCATTACAAACAAACAGATTTGTTTATATTTTCCCTGCTTTTTTATGTACCTGCAGTCTGAGTCTGTCCTCTGTGCTATTCCAGTACTGAACACACAAACACCTTCTGGACAAGAAAATCTTTCTCTCATATCAGCTGCTTATATGGGCAGGTCTACACCGTGACCCCAGAGGCCAAGGAGTGCAGAACTGTAACTGTGGCACTTATTAATCTAGAGAGACAGAAAGTGAGAACTAGAGGGAACAGGCCCAAAGGGCAAATGGAAAAAAATACACACTTTATAAACATCTAATTTTATACAAAATATAAGTGTAGTAGTTATGCTTACGTATAAACCACAGAATTAAGTATTGCTGTGGATTCCTCATTATGGCTTCTCTTCAGCCACAGACTAGCTAATTATCTCCCTAATAGTGAAGGTAAACCCATGTAATTTAATATAACAACTATAATTATACTAGTAAATTAACAAAACTCCCAAACACATACCTAAGCAGAAGATTCAGTCCTTGTTATATAAAGGAACAGAGGAACATAAATCACAAAAAAAATGAATGCTGGCAAAATATAGTTGTATGTTTGTTTCAACTGTATTTATAAATGTTTGGCGGAAGCAGATGACATCTTGGATACATGAGCTATCTGCAGAACAATAAACAGGAGTTTGTCCCATAGGGTGACTAAGAAGGCGAAACTGACAAGGTGAGCTGAGAGAAGGATAGTACTAGAATTAAGTCTTGAACAGAATCTCAAATTATGAGAGTAACTGCTCTACAAATGGGAGAAAAAATATTAATTAAAATAAAACACTAACATTTCCAAACAATATTAGAATAAAATAAATGCATCAATTTGTTCTTGAATTATCACTTTGTTAATGTATGATGAACCACAGTACTAACTAAGGTACCTTCAATTCTTTTGACATCCAGACAGGAACATTATTTGAAAGACAGAAGGTTACTCCAAATAAGTTGTCCATATCTCATTGAATAAAGTCTCATTAAATAAATGAGAGGGACTAGACAGGTCTTAGGCCTAATAGGCCATTTCTAGATTTAGTCAAATCAGGAGAAGGGAAATGTTATGTACAATATGTACAATAGGTGCAATGACATCCTACTTTCACACCAGGATGCTCTGACTTGACATTGATTTCCATGTATTATCCAAGAGACAGGAAACCAGGACAGAAATCCAAATGAAAATATTCAAACTCCCAGTTTTGCCCTTAATTTCCTTTGTCTTTCTGGTCACCACTAGAATGTGCTTTCCATTCTAAAGCTCTCTCCATTCTAACATT